TTATTAAAAATACTTCACTAAAAATATGATTTTTTGTATGTGAAAAACTGCCAAATTTCGTGAAGATATAAATGCTATATCAAAATTTAGTAGTATCAAATCTATAAAGACTTTATACTAGTACAAAAAGGTCACGTGGTCAGTCAAACTGACCGAGCCCATGAGAGAGTTAACATCAAAAAACTATTTTTCTTCTTCAACATTAAAACTTAAACAACTGTTCTTGACTTGAATCAGCTAAATCAAACAGAAAGAGAGATATCTGAAAAACATAAACACACCTGAGATGCTAAGTCAAACATCTGAGCTCGAACATGAACTGCTTGAAGAGGCAGAGCTAATTGCTGACCTGAAGAATCTAACATCTGTAAGCCAAGAGTCACCTTAGTCAATGGATCTTCAATATTGCTGACATCATCAATATCTAGAAAACAGAAGCACACTTCAAAGAAAGAAGTATCACCATTTGACATTTGGATATAAAACAAAGCCTTTCTAAGAGTTATCTATGGACATCTAGAGAAAGGATAATGGCTTTAATAATAAAATTTCTGGACAATAAGAACAAAGACAGTGTCTTTATCACTTAGATATTTTAGTGATTAGAAAGAAAAAATAATGTCCTTATCACTGAGAATTTTTAGATCTCAAAGAAAATATGAAGTACTTATTCAATAATAAAACAGTATGTCAGAAGTCCACATGAATGTAATTCATCAGCAATTATTGAATGAGGTTAGATTCACTAGATCCTTTATAAATTAAATATCAAATTCCACTATTTTAAATTTTTGTTTACGTGAACAAAGAACATATAATAACAATATAATAATCATACTTACTACTATTGTACTTAGACATTTCTTTTTCATCAAATGAAGATCTATTCAAATATGTATCTTTAACATCACATCTGAAAAAAGCTAAGTCCATAGAAGCTAAACTCCTTTCCTCTGGTATGGAAAACTCCACTAAGTAACACAGCTGTTGATGGTTTTTATCATACACAACAAATTCATTGTCCTGAAACAACAAGATGTGAAAGATAAATTTTAATTACATTTATAATAAAACAGGACAATAAATCAGATTAATTCCATTGTGGTTTGGAAATCAAACCAGGTGTTTCATTTTTTAGCTTATTTCTTGCTTCTGATCTTCCTACAGATGTAACTGGAGAATTCCTTTAGGCTTGTACTGATGGGTTCTCAAGTTATATCAGTGGTGTAAAACTCTGTTTTAGGTGATGTCAATAAAAACTGCATTATGGAAGATTTGACTCCATTCAAATAACTACATACACAGTTTGAAATTAATGGTGGTCCAATCGCCATTGTCTACCAAAAATGCTGGCAGACTAGTCAAAAGATTTTCATGGGTGGTCTGTGTGGCCACTAAAAAATTGCCATGAAAATCTAAATTTAAGTGATTACTTCTCCTATAAGATAAACAATGTTAATGTCATGAAACAAGTACAAGAACAAAAAAAGTTATCCTGAGAATTATTTGAAATGTTATTTTCAAATACTGAGTCAATTTTACACTGTTATTTGAAGGTTTAGAAGCATCAAGTGCAATGGCTTGCATGAACTGAAACTCTCACTCAGCCAGCTTTAACCGGGTACAGTGTATCCACCAACGCAGTGTAAGTAAATGCTGTGCATGACACAGACACTAACAAAACTTCATCTGTTGGCTGCATTGTGGATCCTAGCTCTTACTACATTTTCTAATTTTCTCAGGGAAAAGGTGTGTACTTTGTACCTTATTCAACACTGAGTGACATAGGCTAACTTTGTATGTTACACTTTACTGTCTTCCATTGATTGTATTTTCAAGCTTTATCTGTTTTACTACAAGCACATGGCAATAATTTTGGGATTTGTTGTGTTTTATTTTTGCTTTTTAAGACAAAGTACAAGCTTCCAGAACGGAAGTTCTGAAATCAACAGGTGTGAGTTGGGGCAGTTTTTTAAGTTCAAAAAGTGAATGCTTCAATAAAGACAGAAAAAAAGGAACTGCACACTCACTGTCTTAGATTATTTGTCTGCAGTGATCATCAACCAATGATACGAGTTTTTATCCTATTTATTCTATGAAACTGAGCAACAAAATTCATTTTACACCATTGTATGCCACATACTGTACATCAAAACGATTTTAAGGTATAATACATTTCTTACTCTTTTTTAGCAGGGTTTTATTTTCTTTTTTAAATCTTTTTTTTGATATTTTATCTCTCAGTGAATCTTTGTTTGTACTACAAGTAAAAATGGTCAAAAGTATGATTCATACTATGATTCATTCATTTAGGAGTTGGTTCATTATGAAATAAAGAAAAAATATATTGGCCACCCAAAAGCCATGTCTAGGTGGTCCAGCTAGCTACCAATAAAAAACAGCATACTCAAAATTTGACCTAATATTGGAAAGACTGAAAGAATTGGCCAACATATTTAGGGTTTGTACTTAATTGTTAAGTGCAAGTGTCCTCTATTTTGGTGCACATGTCTGACTAAATGGTTAAGATGGACATGATAAAAATGTGTTTACATTTTTGATAAATATTATGGCCAATTTCTTCCTTGAATTTATCCTCAATAAGAATCAAATTAAATTTGCAACACATTTTCTGCTGAATTTCTAGTTAAAACAGTTGCTATTCGTACCTGTTGAAAACCAGTGTACCTGAAAATACTAAAAAGCCTGAAATTTTGGTGCTGTAACCACAGTTGTTCTTTTGCAGGGTTTTCTGTATTCTATTTGTGCTTCTTTGCACTCTCACAAACCTAACTTTGAACTTGGACAAAATATGTAAGTAGCATTTTGCAGACAGAGGACTTAAAAGGAAGATAAGGAACTGGGAGACTATGAGCTGAATACAGGACTTTCACTGCTCATGAAGAGTGTCATGCTTACAGTCTCGATCTGGCCAAATTTTATTAAGAGATAATGCCTAAAAATTTTGAACTTCAATCTATGAGCACCAACAGAAGCTAGCATTTGTGATGCTTCACCCATAAGTTAAGCAAGATGCTAAAAAAAATGTTCATACAACTAGTAACACCTTAACATTTAACCCTATCGTCACGGGTATCCTTTACTGCGCATGACACAAGGTTTTAGTGTCTTACATTCAAAATATTATTATACTACTTTTTATGTTATATCAATTATAATAGCTTAAAATCTTAGCTAATAATCCATATTTTGATAGTATACAAGTTTTAAATTCTTAATTCTACAAGGGAATATAAAAAAAAATTCTGAATTTTTACTAGTGTGACCCATGT